AACCCGGTAGGAAATATCGCATCCCTGCGCTTATGTGAAATAAAACTCATTACACTAAATGAAAAAGTTCTTTACCATTTTGTAAACTATGTGAAATTTTTAGATAATAAAAGAAGATAGATTAATCGCATGTGATAATGTGGTGGGACAACTTTTGTAGGCATGTTTTCATTAAATGGCTTCGACTTATCGATTGTTCCTTAGCTACGACAACTGATAGAGATATGTGATTCAGCTTTACACGTCGCTACCGTTCGTATATTTCACCTTTTGTTCACCAGCTGATATTCACTGTTGCAAACAGACAACCGATAAGTTGAAGTTATATTTTTTATGAGACTGTTTCTATACAGCTTATTCCATCATTTTACACGCATTTATTCGCCAATTTTTTTTCAATTAATATTTCAAAATTTTATGTGATTTTGCAAAATGTTACATTTTTATTCAGTTTGATGAGTTTTACATGCACACGAGGGGACGTACGGATACTGTCGAACCCTGTGTATATATGAATTATATATTGTAATGTTTATAATAACTTTTTATGTTATAGAAGCTGTTCGTAGGACACACAAGCATGTAAGTGATGCTAAAATTGCAGAAACCATTTCCAAGTGGCTTGCCCAAGCTTCTGTTAGGATTGAGAGAACAAAGTATGTACTTATAGGACTATGTACTTATAGGAGGATTTATTTTATATATAATTTTATGTATATTTGTATGCAGTATGTATATTTTTATGTAATTATATGAATTTTAACTTTTATTTATTTTTACAGACATTTAACAAAAGAAAATAATAATCAAGATTTTATTAGTATAATAAAATAAATTATTAGTGGCAACAAAAGGTGGAATATATGAATGGCAGCAAACGCGTAAAGTTTAACTGCATATCTGTATTTGATTGGTTACTAAGAAATAATCGATCAAAGTCAGGGAAAATATGCCTACAAAGGTTGTCCATATTACATGCACTAATTAATCTATCTTCTCAAAATTTCACTTAATAGCGTACAAAATAAGACTAGATATAAGACTTTATTAATGAAAAATAATAATATAACGAACAAGATTATTTATTTTAAAAAAAGTACAATATTAAAAAC